TTACTAATAAAGAGTTGAATTGGATTAAGTAGACACAGTCTTTCTGAGTTTATTCATTCCTTCAACAGATATTTCCTGAGTGCTCTTATGTGCCAGGCGCTGTGGTAGGCACTAGGAATAAGTGAAGAATGTAGTCATGATTCTTGCCCTTGTGGGGTTTAAAACTTGATGGGGACTTACTGGTTATTCTTTTTGCCTCCCTTGCCTGTCACCTTCCTCTTCCTCCAGACTCTCTGCCTTGTTTTGAATGCTGCAAATAACATCCTCTGGACTTTTAAGCTGGCTTCTCTTTGCCATTACCAAGAGGACCATCAGAGGAGCTCAGATGGCATGAGGAAAAAGAAATCGGGGTATGAATTTCCTGATCCTTTCCTCAGCTGTGTTCTTTTAATGCGTTTCATCATGGCTATAGTTACTACAGTTGCTTTGGGGGGCCCAGCCCTCTCCATATCTCCAGCTGTTGCTGGTTCTGGTGACACCATCTCCTCCTCCCTCTTCATTCTGACTTAAGGGTGGGAATGACTTCTTGTTATCACTAGTCTACAAATGCCTCAGTTTCTTTTCTCGGTTCTCTTAGCCTTGCTCATTGATTTTCAACTTGTGCGTTTACTAAACTCTTGAACCATAATGGTTTGACCCTGTTTCCACCTGGATTTCTGACTGATCCAAAGGGGAAAAAATAGAGAAACTCATATGTAAATAATTTAATAATTTAAAACTGTATTAAGGGTTAAAACAGTATGGAGGTTCCTCAAACAGTTGAAAACAGAGCTAGTATACGATCCAGCAATTGCACTACTGGGTATTTACCCCAAAGATACAAATGTAGGGATCCGAAGGGGTACATACACCCTGATGTTTATAGCAGCAATGTCCACAATAGCCAAACTGTGGAAAGAGCCAAGATGTCCATCGAGAGATGAATGGATAAAGAAGAGGTGGTATATATACACAATGGAATATTATGCAGCCATCAAAAGGAATGAGATCTTGCCATTTGCAATGATGTGGATGGAACTGGAGGGTGTTATGCTGAGTGAAATAAGTCAATCAGAGAAAGACATGTATCATGTGACCTCACTGATATGAGGAATTCTTAATCTCAGGAAACAAACTGATGGTTGCTGGAGTGGTGGGGGGTGGGAGGGATGCGGTGGCTGGGTGATAGACATTGGGGAGGGTATGTGCTATGGTGAGCGCTGTGAATTGTGCAAGACTGTTGAATCACAGATCTGTACTTCTGAAACAAATAATGCAATATATGTTAAGAAAAAAAAAAGAAGTTAGCAGGAGGGGAAGAATGAAGGGGAGTAAGTCGGAGGGGGAGATGAACCATGAGAGACGATGGACTCTGAAAAACAAACTGAGGGTTCTAGAGGGGAGGGTGGTGGGGGGATGGGTTAGCCTGGTGATGGGTATTAAAGAGGGCACATTCTGCATGGAGCACTGGGTGTTATGCACAAACAATGAATCATGGAACACTACATCAAAAACTAATGATGTAATGTATGGTGATTAACATAACAATAAAAAATTTAAAAAATTAAAAAAAAGAAGTCCTCATATCAGTGAGATCATATGATACCGCTGAAACAAATAATACATTATATGTTAAAAATCAAATAGTAGGAAGGGAAAAGTGAAGAGGGGGGAATCGGAGGAAGAGATGAACCATGAGAGACTATGGACTCTGAGAAACAAACTGAGGGTTTTAGAGGGGAGGGGGGTGGGGGGATGGATTAGCCTGGTGATGGGTATTAAAGAGGGCACGTACTGAATGGAGCACTGGGTGTTATATGCAAACAATGAATCATGGAACACTACATCAAAAACTAATGTAATGTATGGTGACTAACATAACATAATAAAATAAAATTTAAAAAAAGATTAAAAAATTAATTAAAAATAATAAAAAATAAATAAATATAAAAATTGTATTTAAAAAAACTGTATTAAAGGTTATGATGAAAAAACACAAATATTTAGATAGAGAATAATGAGTGTCAGTTACATAAAGTAGTCACACCTGGCCTCTTTAGAGGGTAATATTTAAGCTGAGGCCAGAGGATAAGAAGGACCTAGCATGGAAAGAACAGGGAAGAGTGTGCCCCATAGAAGGAACAGCAAGTGTAAAGGACATGAGATAGCAAAGAACTTGGCATCCTCTATGCCACAATTTGGTTATAATACTATATGAAGAACATTTGATTAACACATTATGTGGATTGGGGCACCTGGGTGGCTCAGTCAGTTAGGCTTCTACCTTCAGCTCAGGTCACAATCCCAGAGTCCTGGGACTAAGCCCTGAGTAGGGCTCCCTGCTTGGCCGGGAGCCTGCTTCTCCCTCTTCCCCTGCCACTGCCCCTGCATGTGGTCTCTCTCTCTCCAAATAAATAAATAAATAAAATCTTAAAAAAAAAGAAAACATTATGTGGACAGACGGAGGGGGGAAATCAGCTTGAGTGGCAAAGTCCTGATTGGTATCTAGTGACAGATAATAAAGCTCCTGGACAGGCAAAGTCCACCAGAAAATCATGTCCTTTTTAAAGTGGGAAGTAGCTCAGGTGCGTTGCGGGAACTAAGCAGATGCTCAGGTATTAATTTGAAATTGCTATGATTATGTTGGTATGCAACAAAGATCTATTCCACATAATAAGGTACTGTAAAAGAATTAACACATATAAAGATGTTATTTTTTAAATTTTGTTTACTTTCATCAGTGGTAGGTTAGTCTTTAGGTAGAGGTAGATCTCTTCATAGCATGTTTTCTTTTCCTTTTCTCTCTCTCCTTTTTAAGATTTTATTTATTTATTTGAGAGAGAGAGAGAGAGAGCCAGAGAGAGAACACGAGCAGGGGAAGGGGCAAAGGGAGAGGGGGAAGCAGACGCCTCATTGAACAGGGACCCTGATGCAGGCCTGGATCCTGGGACCCCAAGATCATGACCTGAGCAGGCGCATAACCAACTGAGCCACTCAGGTGCCCTATGTTTTTCTTTTTTTTTTTTTCATAATTATGACACTTTGTGAAAAGGATATCAAATGAGCAACAGAGACTTTCTTGACAGGTTGTGCGTCTTTATCGTCCCCCCCCCCCTTTTTTTTTTTACTTATGTTGGGGGGAGATGAGGAGGAGTAACAAAGAAGTGGAAAATTTGAAGAAAATAAAGTATTAAAATAACAAAATTTGGCTGTTCAATTCCACCCAGAATGAAAGGGACTTTAAGGATCAATTTACTAAACATATTTCAAGAATTCCAAAAGAAAATACATCTAACTTATTAAATAAGCTTGCCTGGGGAAATATCCATGTTGTTTTTTTCTCTATGAATCCATTTCTGTAATTTGTTTTATAATATGACCTTCCATTAGTACAAATTCTGGCATTTAAGAATTATTTAACTGCAGGATGTATGAAAACCTTTGATATCAAGTCAAAACATATTATTTTTGTATTTATCAGAATTGAAATGATTACTCAGGACATTTCCAGGCATATCTGACACCACAATATGGGAAAATGGTGAAAAACAAGACTTTTAAGGTATGATTTAATCGTGTGCATTTAACCAATATCTTTGGGTTTGGAAGCCTTCCTTGGATATTGGCCCAAATACCTCCTAGATGAATTTTAAGTTCTTGAAATATATTTCTACTTATAGACATATTTTGCTTAAAAATGGACCACATGACAACTTATTTTGTTTTTAGTCTATTATGATCATGTTTCTACTTAGATTTATTTTTTAAAAGATTTATTTATTTATTTTAGAAAGAGAGAGAGAGCATGAGCAGGAGGGGCAAAAGGAGAGAGAATATCAAGCAGACTCCATGCTAAGCGTGGAGACCAATGCAGGGCTCTATATCACCACCCTGAGATCACTAATGAACAGAAACCAAGAGTTGGATGCTTAACTGACTGCTCTACCCAGGCATCCCACTTCTACTTAGATTTAAATAGAATTACACCTGTATGCATTTAATTTCAATCCATTTTGAAATTAAAAAAAGAAACCATGGTGTTTAACTATGTTTATGCCCTCAACCTCTTCTTACTAGCTGAATTCTTTGTATTTACTAATATTTTCCTCACCGGTAGGCTAAACCTAATTTAAGCACATTTATATAGCCTGTTTTATCTCAAGTGCTTTATAGCTAGGTTGTGGGAGCTAGTTCGCCACAACTGAAGTTAAATGATTAGTAACTGATAGAGATGCATTTATGCAAATTATAATTATGGAGTCTAGAAAGGACCCTGAGGTCTTATCACCCTGAAAAAAACAAAACCACACCTTGTTTAAAATAAATCATAATACTCTAATCAAATATAATCAAAATCTCACTCCTGCATCTATGCTCAATACTCATATTACAAACATCATTGACAAGTGATTATATATCATAGGATTTAAACCCTCAGAAATAGAATCATTAAGTATAGCAGTCATTATAGTGTGATATAAATCATCTTTCTGATTTGGGGAATGATTACATGTTGTAGATATTGACAGCTGGTGTTATAATGTTAGCATTCTTTCAGAAGATACTAAGGTAATCAGTTGGTTCGCTGCAACTATCATTTTTATGTTTTTATGCTGCTGTCTCATTATATCTTATCAGAATCTATATTTTTTGCATGAGGAGCAGGTAGCACCTTATCTTTTTATCCACTTTTTATTTATGTCATTGCTGAATGAAATTTAAGAATGACATTGGGAATTTAAGACATGTAGGCAGAGAGGTAAAGCTATTCTTTTATTTAAAGAAGACTCCTTTATGTTAAAATAGCAAAACTACATACATTATTGTTCATAGAAACCACTAGAAAGATCATTATAACTGATTACTTCATCAGTTACCATTTGCCCCTCCCCGCTTTTTAAATGAATAACCACCAAGGAACTTCTGGGGAAATGAAATCTAACAAAGTAAGTGATCCAAAAATAAGATATGTCACATTTTAATAAACAATTGTGTCTAATTATGGAAGAATATGTACTTACTTGCCAAGTGCAAAGCATTCCATCTTAACAGTTGTTCCCTTAGCAGCTGTAACTGTGAAAGGAAAATGGACCTCAATTTTCGGCTCATATTCTCCCATCACACCTGGGAAATAAAGAACATTCTTTAAGCATAAAATGAATGTCACAATTGCCTTCCAATTCTGGAAATGTTACATTGAAAAGCGCTGTGGTTTGGTTGTTAATGTCTGTTTGATGACTGCTAAATTTTTGATGCACTGAAATAAGAAGGATACTTAGACTCAATCTGAAATCCCAGTCTTCCTTTAAGGATGTTGAGCATGTATGTTCTATACCATTTTAAATAATAATTATTGAAAATGTTAGTCAACACTGCTGGTTTAGTTACTGATTATATTCCAGGGGAGAAAATAAATATGAACATTTCCCATGGTAAGTAATTGTTTTTTTTCTACATAAGTAAAAACTTTATCATTGTCATATAAATGAATACTTATCCATTAAGTGAACATACATTTATGAATATCTATAATATTCAAACATTTTGCTGGGCATTATGGGAGTATGAAGATAAATCAGCCATGGACTGTGCTCTCAAGCACTCAGCAAGTGTATTCTTAGAGAAAGAAACAACATATACTCAAGTATGGAAGAAGAGTGATATATAAAAATCATTGTAAATAAAGATAGGAAGTGATGAGTGCCATGAACAAGATATCCCTAAAGTATTATGTACATCTGAGGCACGTACAGGAATAGTTAGAATTTGAGTAAGTAGGTAAATGATAGGAGAAAAAGTAAATGAAACTGTTAAGAATAAAGACAAAATGAGAGGAAACTATCAGAAGTAGGAATATCAGCTTTTCTGGCATGTTAGTATGTGAAGGGAAATAATACTAGGCAAATTTGGAAATATAAATGGAGTACAAAAAAATAGAGGGCCTTAATTAAAAGAGTAAGACATTCAGACATTAATCCGTAAGTAATTTGGACTACTGAGGTTTTGAATAGGGAACTGGTATTTTGCTGAGATGTATATACTGAAATTGGAGCAGAGATCAGTAAATCAATTACATTATTTCAATGATGCAAGGGAGAAAGAATAAAAGCCCAGACTTGAATTATGGTGGTAAAAAAAGAGAAGAGGCACTAGGTGAAAACAAAACAAAACAAAACTAAAACAAGAAAGAATTGAGATTGTCACACAATAGCAGGGTGCCGGGGACAAGCATGTGATCCTCTTCAATAATGACATTAAGGTTTCCAGCTTCAGGGCTGAATGAAAGGAAAAGGAACGCAGCTCCACTAGAAAAGAGGATGACTTTCATTTTAGGAGTACTGAGTTTGATACCTACAAAATAATCAGAAGAAAGAATCTGACCAGATAACGCAATGAGAGAATGAAGCTCTAAATGAGTTCTGGACAGGGGATAGATACTTCGTGTCATCATTTAGAGGTGGCAGTTGAAGCTGTGAGATTGAATAGGGCTTTCACCTATCACAAGGCTTGGCTGAGGCCTGGTGAATTCCAGTCCTAGTTCCCTCACTAGCTAGACAGGAGCTAATTTCCTCCCCCAAATTTTAGGAGATCCCTGTGTATAAAGTACCACAGAGAACAAAGGTATAATTTAGCATAGATGTTTCTCTGAGCAGCTTGTGTGTGTTTGGGGATGTCTGTGTTTATGGACATATGTACACATATAGGTCCATGTGCATGTGCAGATAGCTCTGTGTGTAATACCTTTGTGTATGTGTGTGAGATGAGAAAGGAGAGGAAAAAAATTAGAGATAAGAAAAATGAGATAAGATATAAAGGCAACACACATTGGATGTGCAAAGGGAGAAATGGTTAACTTTAGCAAAGAAAACTTTTATTTGTTCATCTATCATCTATCTATCATCTATCTATCATCTATCTTCTTTCTACCTATCATCTATCTTCTATTGATCTATCATCTATCATCTGTATCTATCTATTATTAATTTGATATGGGCCTTGAAGAATGAATGTGGCCAACTTTAGATGGAAAATGTTTAAGTTCACTGAGGACAGGAAGATTATCTGTTTTTTTATTTTTGTGCTTGTTTTTTGCAAAGCAATCATAAACAAAATATCACTGATATTTGCATCAAGAGATTGGGCTTCTGGACATGGCTGTGCTAATGACTTAGACTGTTCCATCTCAGATAGGTCAGTGACTTCTGTGTCTCATTTTTACTAATTTATAAACAGAGGGAATAGAAGAGTATTACCGTTAATGTAATGTCTTATTCTAACAAGCAGATTCCTTACCTGCTTTCTAGTCCAGTGTTCACTGAGCACCAAGAGCCTGATGTATAGCAAGTGAATTGAGTGATTAGTCCTATAGCAAAACAAATGTTTAAGCACTTCTCTCTCTGTTCCTCAATACTGTATTCCTCTTCTACTTCTTTTATGTCCTCCTCCATACTTTCCAACTTCTTTTATTTCTCACATCTTTTTTTTTTCCTATATCTTTCCTGGATAGCAGGATTTGACCTGCTAGTGATACCTGGCTGAGTGTATCCAATGATGAGAAGTTTATCTTCAAAGCCCTCCTACCTCTAAGCCCACCATATGAGGACTCCCAAGCATCTTGTTCAGTGTCTACCTTTGTTTGGCCCCCCTGAAGTAGTCCCTAAATTTAGCTTGCGATCTCCCTATCCACCCTTAACATTGATTGTGTAGTATTTGTGTTCCATGTCTACCTGTTAATCTGATGATTTAATAATACATGATCTATCATGATACTTATTAAACTTAATACCCTACTTGCATGGATCCTTGTGAGTGCTAAAAGTTGTTGAGTACCATAAAATGTTGTAGGAGGGCAGTGAAATTGAGACTGAATTTAGAGAATATTTCTATATAATTACTTTTTAGTAAATTGTTTAAAAAGGTCTCAGAAAAAAGGAACCTGAATCTCCAAAGCTGCAGTAATCTGGTTTGATTTCTTCTCTTATCATAAGTAAAAACTTCCTTTAAAATCCACTTTTATGCTAATAGTTTTGTATTATGTTTTTAAAAAGGGTCCTGTAAAAAAATGAATAAAAATAAATAAGAGGATCCTGTAATTGTACAACATTTCAGGCCCTTAAATACCTGGATCTGCCTCTGAATCATATCAAAGTATTACTGATATTCTTGGCTAATAGGAGTTAAACCCATCTCTCTTCTCTTTCACATAATATTTGTGAAGTGCAAAGAAATTCTTTTACAGCTTTCATCCTTAAGAATGACTCAAAGGATAGGCATTCCTGGTAGTATTTGGGAAGTGATTTCGTCCAGGTAGGGCCTTCTGGTGTTTCTCAAATGATTCCCATATGGCCAAAGACATTGTTAAGCCTCACTTCAGGGCCCAAAATGTTTGCTAATATTTCAACTAGATATTAAAAATAAAATTAAAAGTTTTGTGTAAGAGGTTTCAAATTATATTATCTAATTTGAGCTGCACTGTAAGAAATAACTGGTTCTTTCTAATTTTACTGTAATGGTGATGATAAAAGGACAGATGAGAAAACTCTTTAGATATGTCTTGTTCTTTAACAATTGAATACATACAGCAATTAAGTTTTGCTCTATAATTCATGGGATAATTATGTTAGAACTAAAGTCCACCTTAGCAAATATAATTCACCCTCTTTTTTTTTTTTTTTCCAGGATGAGAGATTTGAAAGTCAAAGAGGTTAGGTACTGGCCCAAGGTCCTATAGAATGTGGTTGGTAGAAATGGGGTAAAAATAGGAATTTTCTGACCTCACTAATAGCTATTTTTTTTGACATCACTCTGTTGAGGAATTTTAATCACAGAGTGTAACAGACCAGGCATACCACATGTACTACATCAGTCATTGACCGTCTGCCATGGTACTTGGTTTATTTCAGCTGCAGTTTTTAATATTTCAAGTCATATAGGACTTAGCTTGTAATTTCTTTTATTAGCTAGGGTTTGATGATGAAAGGAAAGAGAAACAGTCCTATAAAGCACTTAGTTAAATATCAAAAGTTGAGGCTTATCTCTTTCATCAAGGTAGTTCCTTTATTTTTATTTTATTTTGTTTCATTTATTTATTTTTTCTCCCAGGAGACACTGCACTGTGTCTTCATTTTTCCCCATATCTGTCTTTTCTGGGATGGTAGGCTGTTCTATTGAAATTGCCTGCCAATAGAAGATGACCCCAAATTACTCTAATTCCTAATAAACAGAAGTCTTCCAGCTAAGAGAACATTACTCTCCTATGTCTTCATGGTTGTTGATTTTTTTTTATATATATATTCCAATTACTTACAAAGAGTTAGGGTGTTTTTCCCTAAGTAGAGTGTAATTTAGAGCAATGTTTCTCCAAGTGCATTGCAGAGTAGAGAGCCAATGACATCCAAAACATCTGAAAAACTTATAAAAATTTCAGTCTGCAGGTTCAACTATGAGGCTAGTGATAAATAATCTTTGCAGGTGGGTCTACAGAGTCTATATTTTAATAGTACTTGAGTTTCAATAGATGTTTCATTTGTAATTATTTTTTTACTGTCTTTAGCAATCTGAATATTAATATATAGTTATTGTGCTATGTAAGCCCCCTGGTAAGGCGATGAAAGCCCAAATAGATAACAAAAACATTAAATAGTAATAACAACAACAACAACAACAACAATAATAATGGCAAAGATGAAAGAGGGAAGAAAAGAAATGACTAAATAGTTCACGCTATGTCTATTAACATAGTGCTATATGTGAGACATATCACTATACTCATCTTTTTGGGACATATTAGAAATTAACTTGTGATTTGTAGATAAGTGATGCAAATCCCAGCTCCAGCCCTGGCTCTCTTGGAACATTGAGGCAATCACAGAACCTCTCTGGATCCATTTTCTCATGTATAATGAGTGTTAATATTATGGACGGTTTAGAACTCTAAATATTGCACATTAATACTCTCTTCTTTATTTACTGTATTCAAATAAATTACAAGTTATAATCCTTGGGAATGTTAATCATTTAGAAAAGTGTCCACATGCCTTATTTTCAATTCCCAAAATGAGTCCCTGATATGAAACAATTTCACAAGCCTAGATAGATAGACAACATGTTGTTTTCTCACCTCA